AATGTAGGGAGTTAGTAGCTCCTGAATCTGGTGGACAGGAAGGTGGAGTTTCTCTGAGGAACTCAGAAGAACCTTCTAGAAGCAAAGACTTGGAAGACAGTCCACCTTGGAGCTATCTGGAGACAACGTTAGGCATGAGAATCATTAGAGCAAAGACCTCATAGCAGAGGACTGTCACCTGGGGATATATCTTTGTCTGGAACACATGTTCTGCCCAGATTTTGCAGATTTTGTATGGAAAGCAGAGTAAGATAGAGTTTGACAAGGTTAGATAGTTCTAGAACATCAAACATACAAAGTCTCACAAGGCATGGTGTCTGTAATGGCTAGCTTTAATTGCCAACTTAACAAAATCGAGAATGATCTGGGAAAAGATTCTTAGAGAGTGTCTGTCTATATTGTGTTGGCCTGTAGGTGTGTCAAGGGAGTATCTTGACTGCCTTAATCGATATGGGTAGACCTAGTCCACTGCAGGCAGAACTATTCCTTACTCAAAAAGTTACTAAGATACATAAGCACATAGAAATTAAGATTTAGGCAAGCAATCAAGCAAGCATGTATTTATTTATCTCTGGTCTCTACTGCAGATGTAATATGACTAGCTCCTGACACTGTGACCTCCCCACATAATGGACTATAACTTAAAATTGTAAATCAAATAAATCCTCTTTCCCTAAGTGACTTTTGTCTGAGTACTTTATCACAGCCAACATGAATGAAACTAGAAGAGGAGCATGCCTACAATTCCAGCATTTGGGAAATAGAGGCAGGGGGAATCAGTCATTCAAGGTCATTCTTAGCTGCATAGCAAGTTCAAGTCCTAGGTGGGATACACAGTACCCTGCCCCCAAAAAACAATTCCCAGACAAATGAATAAAAGTATTACACAGTCCTTCTGGGGTCTCATCAGTACTGAAGGATTTGCTGATTTAGAACATGATGGCATGTTCTAACTTAAACTTTAAAAGATTATGTTATGTGCCTTGGGAATAGGTCTGGGAAAATACTGATAGTTACAGAGGAAGCAGACAGGGGTCTATTGAGAGCATCAGGCCTGATCTAGGGTAGTAGCAGTGATATGGGAAATTGTCATAATTTGGAAATATTTTATAGAATCAATAACTTTCCCAATATGTTGGAATGTAGAGTCATGGGTTAAAAAAGAAGCCAAAGATGACTATAAGGTTTTTAGTTTGGATGGTTTGGTTGTTATTAACTAAGACAGGGATTATTACAGATGAGGAATGCAATGGAGGAAGATGAAGAATATGAACTTGGGCATGCTAAGTTGAAAATGTATGGAATGAACAGACATGAAGATGCCTAAAAGACAAGTAGCTGTGTTAGAAGGGCTCAGTGCAGGGCACCAGATAAGATATGAAGCCATGGGACTGAATATCATCATTAAATAATAATATTATAACATTAAGAAGACAAAGGAAAGAGGAGGGGGGGACCAGGTAGAAACCAAAAAACAGCAGCCACAGAGGTAACAGGAACTCCAGGATGGTGAGGGACGTTAGAAGCAACAATTCAAAGACAGCCTGGTTTTTCTAAGCTTTGAAGCTCATAGGTGAAGGCTTTGCTTCATAAATTTCTCTGAGCCTCTCCACACAATAGCTCTACTAAGGTTCCAATGATAGGTGAATCCTTCAAAACACTTCCACTTAAGAAGTGACTCGAGTTTTGTAAAACTATTGCCTGCTACTCGTTTTTATGAATGCAGTGGTGCTGTGTACAGTCACACCTGTGGGTTTCTGTGCTATCAATGGCAGCTTTATGTCAAAACAGCAGAGTTGGATGATTCAATAGAACCCATGTGTTCCATGAACCCTCAACTACACATTAGTGGAGGCTTTATAGAAAAGGACCATGAATCCTAGGACTAACTCCTTGGAGTTTCATGTTATTAATTTATATCCTTCAGGAATATTTAAGTCTTTATTCACATGAAGAAAAAAACAGTAATCTGAAGACTAGCACATGTCACTCTTAGATGGTTCAAGCTCTCACGTCAAGTGGCTCAGTAGCTCATCACTGTTACCCTTAGGTTGCAGATGATAAAGCCAAGACAGGTAATGTGCCAGTTATTTCTCAACTGGACACAAACTAGAGACACCTTGGCAGAGGAAACCCAACTGAGGGATTGTCTCCATTCGATTGGCCCATGGTCATTCTCATGAGGAATTTCTTGGTTCATGATTGGTTAATAAATTGGTTAATGCATGAAGCTCTAGGCCACTGTGGGCAGTGCCACCCCTAGTCAAGTGGTCCTGAAATGTCTAAAAACGCAAGCTGAGGAAACCATAGAAAGCAACCAAGTGAGCAGCATATCTCCACGGCTTCTGCCTCGCTTCATGCCTTGAGTTCCTGCCTTGGTTTCCATCAATGGTGGACTCTACCACTCCAACAATCAGGGAGATGAATCCTCTCCTCCCCAAAGTTGTTTTTGGTCAGTGTTTTATCACAGTATCAGAGAAAGCAAATCATGGAGCTGAAATGGTATGACTAGGGTCACCCAGTCAGCTAAGAATGGGTCTGGCTTGAAATCCAGGGATTGACCTCATGGCTAAGATTATGATATCTGTCATCTCACTTAAGTTTGGAGCATAAGCTATTCGCAGCAAAGAATGCTGAATTTCTATGAGTACATGATATTATACTTATCAAATATAAGAGTCAGGGTTGATGCTCAATGTTACAGTTTGAGTGTGAAATGTCCCCACAGGCTCATGTGTTTGAACACTGGTCCTCAAATTGTGGCACTGGTTTGAGAAGTTATAGACTCTTTGGGGCATGGGGCCAAGCTAGCAGACAGATGACTGGGAGCAGGTCTTTGAGGGTTACAGCCTAGCTCCACATCTAGCCTGACTTCGATGCTACCCAATATGAGGTAGCAAGACACTGAAAGCTTCAATTGCTTTGAATGACCCTCTCCAGTCTCCTTTGCCATGATGGACTATATCCCTTGCACCATGAGTTTATAAAATCACATTTAAGCTGTCCCTGTCAGGTATTTGGTCGCAGCAATGCTACACAACTAATGTACTCAGATGTCGTGGTACCTGTGCCCTTATCCACTGTGCTACACAATGAACCTGCCAACCCATCAGACACCAGTGCTGACACAGGCAATGAGACCGCTGGTTTTGATTTGGGGTCTCTGTGAAGAACAACTCCAAAATGGATGAACATCTGGTCTTCTTACTCCTGCCTTTCTTTCCTGTCCAATATGCCATAAATCAAACTCTCAGCTTGTCTTATCATCAAGCCAGAGTGCATAGGGAGCCCACTAGAAGAAATAGAGCCAGATGAGAACAGAGAGACAAGTAAGTCTTCAGCTGGGTCCTTCGAAGGGGGAGGAATACCCACATTCAGTGTTATCAGAGAGTACTGATAGTTTTGCACTAGTAGTCTAGCTTTTACATCTTTCAAAGTCCTTCCATGTTTTAAATCCCAGGTTTAGAAATTCTGAATTTCAGGGTTGGGGTTTAGCTCAGTGGTAGAGCACTTGCCTAGCAAGGGCAAAGACCTGGGTTCAGTCCTCAGCCCTGGAAAAAAAGGAAAAAAAAAGAAATTCTGGATTTCAGATCAGGCAAGGGATGTTGAAATGTTCAGTGTTGTACTCAGGTCTTGGGCCTTCTTTAAAGAATTCATTTCCATCAAAGAAAGTCATCCCCCTCCCCATCTCCTGTGGCCATGGAGTTAGGCAAAGGGTAAGAAGTGGGGAATCACACTAAGAAAAGAAAAATTCCAGATGGGGGATAGATTCACCACCAGCTGTTCATTCCATCCCAGTTGTATCTAGTCCCAGAGCAAAATATTTCACCATCCCCAAGCCATGGTGGCCTCCAAAGGGCACCACAATGAATCCCTGTATTGCTGAAGCTGGCAGATCCAGAGACCCACACTGAGAGAAGATGTCATCAAGCTCCTAAGGAGGGTGGGGCTACTGTGGGCTTCCAGGACATAATGCATAAGTACTGTGGGTGGCATAATGTGGAATTCATCTCCCTCACTCCGTGGAGTTGGGACAGGCAGAACAATCTAGACTCTGTCAGCAAGGTCCTCTAGAGAGTTCAGGCACACTAATGAAGATGAATAAGAGAGAGAGCTGTCCCTCATGGCCATGGCCTCTGTCACTCAGTGCTCAGGCATCCATATTTATGAGCTAGACAGACAACTTCCAATATGACCCCCTAGAAATAATGGAGCAGAGGTACAGCAATGCTGACCCACACTTGGGGTTCTGGGATATACTGTGGAATGTAACACTCTGGGCAGTGAGTTACAGGACAATGAAACACCTTTAATTATATGAAATTGTCTCTGGTCTGCACGGAGGACCCCTGAATAACTTACTTAGCACTTGGCTAAGTTCCAGAATCAAATCTAACATTGCTAAGTCCCACTTCGTTTCAGCCAACAGTCATCCCTGTGCCTACTCTGTTTGCAGATTGGCAGTCATGTACTCTTCTAGAGGTTCCACAAGGTTGGAGGTGCACGGGAGTGCTCAGATCACAGGATGGATCATCTCCTTTCACTGCTTCCAAACCTTCATTCATCGGGCTCTTCTGTGATGCTCACTTACCTAGGTTTCTTACAGCAATAAGTCTTTGCCATCACACAGACCTCTCGGGACCTGGAAGGTGACTTTGATAGGTAGTCATCCTTTGTGTAGGGGAATCTGTCCGAGAACCTGGGATTCTACACTTAAGAGTTCTTCTTCAAGGTAGTAAGTATTGGTTTTGAGCCCATCCACACCATCATTTTGAAGCCAGTGGATTTGTCCTAGACTCATGGATATTTTCATATTTCAAATGTTCCATTCCTATTACAACAGACCCAGCCCTGGTCCCCAGGCAGCATAACTGAAAGGAAACACACTGAGCCAAATAAATCAAATCACCTCTCTGCAGCTGGCCTCCTGTAGGTCTCTATGGAGCCACAGGTAGCATTTAGTTGCAAGACAAATGTCGAGCAGAGCTCAACAGCCTTACCTGCCTTTCTGACATGATGTAGAGTTGCTCGTGGTCCTTGGAAAAGGCCATGTCCCGGAGAACTGGGCCCGGGTCCACCACTTGCACAGTCTCATACTGGAGGGCATTGCCCTTGGGCCCATCCACCCGGATCTGCAGAGAAAAGGAAGAGGGAAGATGAGGTGAGTGTTTCAGTTACTTTTCTTTTCTGTGATAAAACACTCTGACCAAGACAACTTACATAGGGATCAATTCATTTGGGCTTGTCATCACTGATTTGTATCCCTCTGGAACCACAAGCCCAGTTAATATTGTTCACAGTCCAACTTCAGTCTAGAGAAAGTCAAAGGCAGGGAGCTCTGTCTCTGCAGACGTTAGAGTCCAAAACCAAAGTTATAAGTGGCAGAAGCCCCCTGTGGTCTCATGGAGGAAGGAGCAAACAGACCAACCTGAGCTTTGAAAAGAATCTGGTTTTGTCTCTGGTTTGCTAAGCCTTAGGATCAGTTCACTGAGGCAGTGCTAGTCTTTAGTGATGAGTACGGCGTTAGTATCCGAATGAAGGGTCTGGGTTGGGTATTGAGGCAGTTTCAGGTCAGGGGATCATCCCACATAAGAAAGACTAGAAGAAAGGCTAGCATTTGTTAGCACAAGTATTTTTTGATATACGGGTGTTGGCTTAGTCGCTGAGACTTCCACCCAGGTATCACTGCTCTGCTTTGGAAAAGACTCAAGGAGTCAATCCCAGAAGCTCCACATCTCTGATCTCCTTTGGTCCATAAAAACCAGTAGCTTATACTTGGAGGATTTAAAATAGACAGTGAGTCCTGAAACAGCTAGTTGTGAGGTTCTATGCATGGTCTCAGGGAAGGAAATCACAGGAAGATGTGCCTCCATCATGAGTCATCCTCAATCTTTCAAGATACTTAGATGACTACATGATCCTTGGGCCATCCCAAAGTTCTTCCTAGAAATGTTTAGACAATGTGGAAACCACCAAAACAGATGTCCTCCTCCCCACATACCCCATCACTGAGATCAAACCTAGAAAGGACTTGGGCTTCCCAACCCAATACAATGCTCATTTGGCCTCTGACCCAAGTCTATGGCCCAGTGTAGCCACACTGATCCAGCAGGCATCCTGTCCCATGAGATAGCACCATCTATGTAAGGTGGGACAGTACTACTGAGGATATGGCTAAGTGAGAGTTAGTGGATATCAGAGGCCTTGATGATATGATGCTAATACAAGGCATCTCTGGAGCGAGCTTTAGTGAGTCCAATAACAAAACTAAAGAACACATTGCATTCCAAGTGCCATCATTATGTAGTCATTTTAATTTTTACCTTGTAATTTTCAACCTCTTATGAGATCAAGGAGAACAAAAGAGTTATTCAGAGGAACTAAATGTTAGAAGGGGACACCACAGCTGGTGAAAACTGATACATTGGATCACAAGAATGCTTCGTCTCTTCCAAGCTCACTGAACTCAGATACTAGTTGATTTTGTGGTTTTGAGTTTGATCATTTGACCACTATTTATTTTCAAATGAACAAATAAATGAAATTGAGACTCCTCTTTGCTGATTTCCCATTAGGCTCATGAAAACAACAACAGGAAAACCAGCCTGAAAAGAGATGCTCAGCTCTGAGGTAGAAATGCCTCAGAGGCACCCCTCTCCATTTCTGTACCTACTGCTGAGCCATCAGCGGGCACATTGTCAACCAAAGACAAACAGAAATCCTTGCAAAACCAGTCTGGTGATGAAGCTATGGTTGTGGTCAGTGGCTTAACCAGACTTCATCCCCAGCCAGGAGGAGCCCTAGAGCAGGAACAGAGAGTGATGCTGAGCACCCTGGCTGATCTTGGCTCTCTTGGGCCCCTCACAGACACAGACACCCATAGGGACCCATCCCATGTCTTTGGTTTGATCCCCATTAAAAGTTAGATTCAGTGCCTCAGGAGTGTTCCTTATCACCTGCCTCTAACTTGCCTGCTGCTTAGGATAGGGTGATATTCTAGATGTAGTAGACATCATATGAAAAAAGTAAGGACCCTACAGACACCAATGGGGCCTGGGCTTTTTTGTTCCCTACTCTCCATATTCTGCCAGAGTAGGAGAACAGTTGGGAAGGTATCTCTCCTCCTCCTCCTCTCCTCTACTGCAATCCTGATCACAGGTTTATATACTACAGGAAGAAAAGAACTCATGTATCTGTTTCCTGAAAGAACTAAATACAAGACATGAGTGAAAGGCTGGTGAACAGTACTAAAATTTAGGCAGAATGGACTAGCTTACAACTCTCCAGACTTAAACCTAGACAAATAGGAATTAATCTTCATGGAATAGGCAATGCCTGGCATTTATATCTCATAAATCTGTAACCAATATTAATATTTTCCATACTTGCAGGTGATGCCTAGGATGCTAAATAACCTGTCCAGGGTTACATGGGCAAGTGAACATGGGCATGGAGTCACACCCAGACCGATTTAACTTCATTGTCCATGTGTCTATGAGTTTACACACTATATTGAACCGTTACACTGGACCTCAAAGCCTAATACTTAACTCAGTCCTATTGCTGATATGAATTTGCATTCTGCCTAGGAGTCTGTGTTGTGCAAACATTACACTGGGGGTGGTGAAGGGATCATGTCTTTATCTACTACAGTTCTTTTGGGGAGGAACATCCATATGAATGAACACAAGGGTGTGAAATTTCAAAATAATGAGCCCTTATATTTTTGTTTTAGACCTTGCAAAGTATTCTTCAGTAACACTCTCTCATCTGACAGCTGTAAAATTTTTATGATGTTGACTGTCAGCATAATCATTCTCATTTTATTGATAAAGCAACTGAAATGGGGATTGATTTGAATCTTGCCCAAAGTTCAGTAGGAAACAATGTCAGGCTAGACTAGAACCTGGATCTCTCCCGATTGCTGGATCAGCATTTGCCTCTTAGCTATTTAGTTTTTCCAAAAGTCTTTGACAAGGCTCCACATGAAAAGGTATTTTAAAATAATGAGTCTCCACGGGATCTTAGGCAGTTTGACCAAAGAAACAGAATTGACTTAGAGACAGGAAAAGACATATTTCTGCATGGAGAAATAGCACTGAGAACTCCCCAAGCACTAATGTTGCCACTAGTATTATTTTTTTTAATACATGGTCGGAGAAGGGAGCTGGAAACTTCAAGGATGATTCTAAGCTTTGGGGACTAACACAAAACCCAACAGTAGAGACAGAACTACAGAAAGGGGCTCTGTCTTCTGTGGGTTGACTGTGAGGGAGGAGCTGTTATTATGGGGGAGACAGGTGTGAGACCCAAGTGTATTTCTCATAGACTGTATGTAGGACATGATTAGTATACTGTGATTCATTATTGAGTAAATGAAAACTACACTCTACCAATCTAACAACAGACTCTTAAGTTGCTAGACACAATCAAGGTAAGAGGCATCATAATCAAGAAAGAGGGCCCCTGTATGACATTTTCTACTCTTAGTACCCCAGGGCACTCAACAACAGGCTAGACAGCATTTCAGTGGGATAGCACACGGCCATCTTCCTGACCTAATCTACCTGAACACAACATGGGCTATCTCATGCAGCCCACTCTATAGAAGGCTGGAACACAGTTCAGACGTTTGGAGCTCATGATCAGCTCAGGAACAACAGCTCGAACCATGACAGGGAAGGGACTGTTGAGAGGGAAGGACACCGTTGGCGGGTGGCTGTGCTTCAGTCATAGTACAAAGGCTACCCCAAAACTTTTGAAGTAGTAGCATAATAAAACAAGGTTTGTTACTTTATACAATGCCGATGATACTTGTGGATCATAAGCAATGGGAACAGTTAGAGAAGTCTGTTGTACTTAAAGGCATAAAATGTAGACCAATTGTACGTGAGCCGTGGATGCATATTTGGATGTTGGAGGACATTAATCTCTGAGGCAAACACCAAAGAGAAAATCATATCCCCACTATGTCAGTTCCCTCTTGTAGTGGCGTGCTCATTCATTCTGTGTCCCACATTTTCTGAATGACTGTCTAGACTGAGCTAGATTGTAGAGGAAAAGAGACCCCAACCTGGCCTTCCAGGAAGCTTGGCTCCTGAATGGTTCAATCTTTATATCAATTAGGTCTGTGAGTAAAGAGGTGTTCAAACGCCAATACTGGTTCTTTCTAGGGAGTCTGAACGACTGTTTAGGGTGTGACCAGGATTGGCAAGCACAGCCCCAAGTGTTAGTAAGTAGCAGGTAGCTCACAAGTCACGTGGCAAAGGGCTTTTAACACAGCTCATCTGGACCACGAAACTTCGGTAACCTAAAAGCCTCCATGGGTTACTAAATCTCTTAGGTCATTAAAAATACTGAATCAAAGGAGCAACATTGATAGTACTAATGGTTTCATAAAATTACAAGAGCCTGGCAGGAAGGTAAAACTAAATATATGAAAAGGGTATCAGAGGGAAAAGTGTGGGCATTTTTCTTCAACAATGTCATGAGGATGGGATAAATGAAGCAGATCTAAGTGTTTCCTGTCTGTTTACCCTGGCAGAGAAAGATGCTCTTCCAGGATGCATCTGAGCCCTGGAATGTTCTAGACAACATTCGACAATAGAAATATGAAAACTACTAATGTGGGCCATCTCAGTCATTAACAATTTCTAGTAGTGGTCACATTGAAAAAAATAAAGCTAATAAAGTTAATGATTGTAACATTTTATCTAAGCTAGTATGTTCCAAATATGATTATATTAACATATATATATATAAGTGCAAACTTATCAATGAGATATTTTTACATACTTCTTCTGAGCCTAAATCATTGAAATCTGAGTTATATTTTACATATATTATACATCTTATTTGGAACATCTACATTTTGGGTGCTCACTATATGGGTAATGGCTACCATATTGTATGATGTCATTCTAGGCTATTCTCATCCCTACACTCTTATTTTATACTTACTAACCAACTTGACTAAGAATTTAGCTTGGTGACTATCTTCCTGAGTGTACCTCAGGCGTAGGTCTTGCCCAACCACAATATACTAGAATCTCCCCAGGACCTTCCAACTGTAGCATGTCACAGTGTGTTTCATAGTCCTCGTGTTTTTGATGTTCAGGGGCTGTAAGCATCA